CCTCTCTCTATCTCTCTCTCACTTACCATCTCCTTTTTCATTGTTGATTTTGCCCAAAGTACTTTGAAACTTAGGGATTTTATACTATTTCAAACCCTGGGTTTAAAAAAAATCAATGTGAAGCGAATCAAGTTGCCCTCTTTCTCAATTTCTGGTGTCATGTATATTTATGTAGATGCATTTCCAGTACTGTAAAATTTGATAATCTATGACCATGAAAGACATAAAATTTTGTGTAAATTTTGTTGCAGTTGAATAATCTTGAGCTTGCTGTCAATCTTGCCAAAAACGGAAACCTTCCTGGTGCTGAGAATTTGATAAGTTAAAATCCTGTTTCTCAAGTGCTGAGAATAGTATTTACGGAATTTTTGTTGGCACTTGGTTGAGTGTTTGTCCATTATTTTTAAAGCAACTTTGTGTTGTTTCAATAAAGTAGTTTGTCGGTTTTTTTGGGTGCATTTTAGATATCTCTCAAGTGTTTCACTTACTTAATCCCTTTAAATCTTTGATTTAAAAGCAACGCGACACTATTTTCTTATGTAAGTTGGTAATAAGAAATTACATGATGTTTAGATTTAGGTTGAAATTTATTTTCAAATGCTCAAAGTTTGTCATATGCTCTCAAGTGGGGTTTTTTACTTTGTATCTTAAGATGTTGTGGAGGCATTATGCTTTTCGGAGATATGTTAATGTCATAGGATGTTCAAGAGGTATTTCGCAAGCTATGTGCTTTGCACTAGGTGCTTCTAGCATGGTTTCGTTTTTCAAAATATGAACTTGAAGTTATATGCTGCTTGAAAGGAGAATCTAATTGTCAGGTACAAAAGGGGAAGTGAGTTTAACTCACCCTTATTAAATTGCCAGTGTTTTGGGATCAGTTTGGTGGAGATCATCAATTATCTGTCTTCCTCTGCTGTCTTGTTCAGCTATATATTATCCTTTTTTATGTGCTAAAATTGTAGGATGGGTGTAGTGTGGAAAAATGACTTTTTGTTTTGCTTTTTTCTTAAACCTTCAGCTATATATAGTTGTGTTAGTCATGCATATTAGTCAAATGGTATTTTTCTAATTATATTTGCCTACCCTTTGTTCCTTTCCTCTTTGTTTTGAGTTGTGTTTGGATTTGATAGAAATAGAAAGAAAATGGGGGTCTGATAAATTGGTATAATCTGGTCTGGTTAGTTGGTATATGGCTCTATGTTTAATGGTTATAGAGAAAAAGTATTTTGGTTAAGAGGTGGTGTCCCTTTGAAAAGCATTTTCTCATTCTGTAAATTAAAATAGTACAATATTTTCTTTTGCCCAGACAACCTTCTCATGCATGTGAAAATGATATAAAGCAGTATTGCTCCTCACTGTTCTTTATTAGTGTAAAAATATCTTCTATTTATGTTCTGAAAATGGTGATTATGCAAGAACTGATTGGGGCATTGATTTGGCATTGTGACAACAACAGGAACTAAGGAACTATCTTCTATTTTTCATAGCTCTTGAAGAATAAGCATATATTCCCTTCTTCAATAATTCTTGAGACGGAAACTCCTTAGAGGTCGTTTGGTTAGTGGTGTCGGAGTAATTAATCTAAGCATAAAATCCTAATATAAAATTGATATTAAGAGTAAAAATGAAAGTTTATTCTTGTTACATGCATTGTTTCCTAAGAGTATAAATGTTAAACTATTATGATAAAGTTTTCCTTTTCTTTATATAAATGTGTAGAGCTCTTCCAGAAATGAAGATAGAAGTTGACAATTTTAAAATACACAGTTTAATTTTTTTTTTGGTTGTTGACTTGTGTAGTTATCTTTTAACAAGGACCATTAATCAACTAAAATATAAGAAAATAAATTACATGATCAGTATATAGTGGTCAAATCCAAAGTAGTCATCTTTATCAATTTTCATGTATAAGGAATAGTTTATGAAACATTGTTTCATGACGTTTCACTGAGTGAATAAAATAAATTATTTATTTATCTAATTATTTTATCTTGTAGTGTGTAATAAATGGAACAAGATCGTAGATGGATGTATGATAGAAATCATCCTAATCGTGGGGCGTTGAAGGAAGAATTTGTAGAAGGTGTTAAAGGATTTATTGCTTATGCAAAAATACTTCCTGAATTCCGTAATGAAGGAACTATTAGATGTCCTTGTGCTAAGTGCAAGTGTATAAAGTTATTGATATCGGAGGATGTTAAAGTTCATCTTTACAGAAAGGGGTTTAGAGAAAATTATTATGTGTGGACCGTTCATGGAGAGAACTACAGTAATTTAACTGACGTTGACTTTCAGAATCTTACTGGTTATGAGAGTAGTACATTCTTTGAGAAAAATTATGATAATTCTCAAATGCATGAAATAGTGTCGAATGCTTTTCGGATACACCCAGGAGTTCAATCCTAACAAAATATTGATGAGTCTCCTAATGATAAGGCAAAGCACTTTTATGAATTATTAGAGGCAGCTAGTCGTCCACTCTATAAAGACTCAATACACTCGGAGTTGTCAGTTGCAGTTACATTACTAACTATCAAATCAGATTGAAATATTTCTCAAGCGGTCATGAATGCTATAATTGGGCTTATGCGTGAAGTTAGTTCGAACATTAACTTACCCGGTGATTACTATAAGGCTAAGAAGTTAGTTTCCAAGTTAGGACTTTCCTTAACAAAAATTATTTGTTGTGAAAAAGGCTGTATGTTATATTATAAAGATGATGCGGCTCTAGAAGCGTGCAAATTTTGTGGCTTGTCTCGTTTTAAGAAAGTCACAAGTGCCAAAGCAAAGAAAGTTCCAATTAAGAGGACGCATTATTTACCTATTATACCTAGGTTAAAGAGATTGTAGGCACCAATGAGCTCCGCTCCTCATATGAGATGACACCATGAAAATAGAAGGGCGCCTGGTGTTTTGTGTCATCCTTCAGATGGAGAAGCGTGGAAGCATTTTGATAGGATGTATCCTGACTTCGCTAATGAACCAAGAAATGTTAGGTTGGGTTTGTGTGCAGATTGATTCACTCCTTTTTCTGTCTCTGCTGCACCATATTCTTGTTGGCCTATTTTTATTACACCGTATAATCTTCCGCCAGAGATGTGTATGACAAGTCCATATTTGTTCCTAACTGGCATAGTTCCGGGTCCAAGTAATCCAAAAAGTTTGATTGATGTATCTTTGCAGCCTTTGATTGATAAGCTAAAGTTATTGTGGCATGAAGGTGTTGAAACATACGACATATCAACTAAACAAAATTTTAAATTGTGTGCCGCTTTGATGTGGACTATTAATGACTTTCCTGCGTATGGAATATTATCTGGATGGTCGATAGCGGGAAAGTTAGCTTGTCCTTGCTGTATGGAAGACACAAAAGCATTCACTTTGAAACATGGAGGTAAGACCACATGGTTTGACTGTCACCGTCGGTTTTTGCCAATGGATCATGAGTTCAGGAGAAATACTAGTGCATTTATGAAGAATCAAACTGATTATGATGAGCCACCAGCAACCTTGTCAGGGGAGGAAATTTGAGAGAGGGTTAAGAATTTTCCTAAGGTAACAGAGTCTCCATTGCTTAAATTACCTGGTTATGGTGTTGAGCATAATTGGACTAAACAGAGCATATTTTGGGAGTTACCTTATTGGAAGCATAATCTTCTTTGACATAACTTGGATGTCATGTATATTGAAAAGAACTTCTTTGATAATCTATTTCATACCGTAATGGATGACAAGAACAGGACAAAAGATAATTTGAAGGCCAGGATGGACTTACAAGAATACTGTAGGCGAAGAGAATTAGAACTACGGCAAGAAAATAATAGGATGGTGAAGCCTAAGGCCAGTTATTCATTCAAAATGGATGACAAACGAAAGATCTGTGATTGGGTTCGAAATTTGAGAATACCCGATGGGTATGCTTCAAACTTATCCAATTGTGTTGGCATGAAAGAAGGAAAGCTGATGTATATGAAAAGCCATGATTGTCACATTTTCATGGAATCATTACTTCCTATTGCATTTAGCGCATTGCCTGAGAGAATATGGAAACCCATCACAGAGATAAGCTTATTTTTCAAAGACCTATGTTCTAATACATTGAGGGAGGAAAATCTAGTTTTGATGGAAAGTAACATCCATTTAATGATAAGCAAATTGGCAAAAAAAATTCCATGTGGGTTTTTTAATGTAATGGAACATCTCCCAATTCATCTTGTAAGAGAGGCACGACTTGGAGGGTCTGTTCAATGTAGATGGATGTATCCATTTGAGAGGTAATAACCATTAATTATTTTGCCTTTATGTGTTTTGATTGCACTTCTTCCCATCTAAAATTATGCTATGTAGGACTATTAGCAAATGTAAACGGATGGTGAAACAAAAATCCAAGATTCAGTGAAGCATATTTAGTTAAAGAAACTTCTCATTTCTGTTCATATTATTTTGAGCATCACGTGCCATGTTTGAGAAATAGACCAAATCGGCATGACAAAGGTGCTAATGATCCTTTGGCACCGCCGATATCCATATTCAATCAACCCGGTAAATGTTCTAAAAAGTATCAAAAAAGAAATTGGAATGGGATGGAGAAAAAGTTGGCTACAACACACGTGTTGCTCAACTGCCCCGAAGTTCAACAATTTTACGAGTAGGTTTGAAATTATGTTATTGACCTACTTGCATGATCTATTCTTATTTTAGCTAATAAACTTTATATATGTAGGGCAGATATTTAGCTACCTGGTGTACCCTCATTATCATCTTACCCTGTCATGTCATCATCATCATCTTGTCCGATCGTTCCTTCATTATCTTCATCTACCAATCAATCACCAGTTTCTCCAATCATTCATTCATCATTTTCCTTTAGCATGCCCTCATCATTTAGTCAACCTGCTAGGAACTCTTTCATGCCTTCGTCTAAATTCACTCCATTTTCGGGCATACCCTCTTCATCTTGCCCTGTCATGCCATCATCATCTTCTCCAGCCATTCCTTCATCATCTTCTTCTGGCATTCGATCATCATTTTCCCCCATCATCCATTCATCATCTTCCTCTGGCATGTCTTCATCATTTAGTCAGCCTGCTAGCCACTCTTCCATGCCTTCGTCTGAATTTACTCTGTCTTCATCTCCCAACATTTCTATGCCAAATATTGGAGTCAATGGTAATTCGACATTCCCATACACCGATAGTAATACAGATACACAGCCTCCGACACAGACTTCTACACGAAGGCATGATCCTCCAAATGGAAATATGATGATCTTCGGAGGTTGATTATTGTGCCCGATGGAGCAGGGTACATATTCATCTTTTAATTTATAATTAATTCTAAATATAATTTCTAACTTGTTTTAAATTCAATGCAGCTTTTATCCTCCCAAGGCTACGAAAGCCGTGGTTGAATCGATGTGTTCATTTTATCACGCACCATGGAGGTCTTGGTCAGAAGTTCCAATTCACATTAGGGACAGAATATTTGTTGAATTTAGGGTAAATTAAAATTAATCTTTTGCTTTAGTTTTCAACTCGCTATAGTCATTCTAACATGTTTTATTTGCAGATGAAGTGTGCATGGTCACGCGATCTTGAAGCTGAGGTACGAGTCATTTTCTTTAAGAAATGTTCTGATAGGTTGCCTGATCTGCTTCAGACTTCTCGAGAAAGTAATACGAGGCCAAATTGGATTCTTGATGATTTATGGGTTAAACTTCTTGAGTATTAGAAATCTCCGGAATTTAAGAAGAAAAGCGAACAAGGAAGGGCAGCCCATTTGTCCAACAAGGGTGGCTCGGTGCACACGGGTGGCTCAATTAGTATTGCGGCTCATCAAAGAAGATTGGTAATGTGTTTATTATATTTTTCTTGATTTATAACTATTTTAGTTACCATTTTTAACATATTATTTATTTTTTTAGGAAAATGCTAAAGGAAGACTAGTTACTCATGATGAGGTATTTGAGGAAACCCACATGAAGAAGTTGAAGGATGGAACAAAACCGACTTGGATCGAGCCGCGTGCTGAGACAACCCATGTAAGATTAACAACATTCTTCACATATATGAATTAACAATATCGCTCTCTTATTGTTAAGTAAGTGATTTCCATGTAGACATGCCAGATTTCCATGTATACATGGACAATATAACAGTTACCAGAAAAACAGATTAGTAATATTCTAATATCCAATTAATCAAGAATATTGTAACATGCTTTCTTCCTTATGCTCTTGTAGTAGACAAGAGATAACTATAAGTGCAACAACTGAACATTAGTTGAAGGCAACCAAACAATTGAACAATCATCAATCATGCACATTTTAAGTAGCTTTCTTTCGTGGGTTCACATAGTAAATTTGTTAGCTGCCAAATTAGTGGAAATGAGTTGGTTCATTTTAGTCCGAGAGGACATGAGTTCGATTCTGTACTGCGCTAAATTTGTCGTTTATTGGAGTAGCCTGCAAACTAATTAATATATGCTCTTATCAAGCTATTTAGCCAAACCTTCCGATCTCGTTAGGAATGTGAGGATGGGTGTAATGAGATTAGTCTGTCATGCGGAGTAAAGTTTTTCTTGGTGGTAGTGACGTTCAAACCATCAAAACCATATTTAGCACTTTTTCGTGCCATATGACTGTTGACTTCTAAATAGCTCGCTCTTTACAACTAGGAAGGGATGTCATTTACATTTTAATTTAGTGCATGGTAAGGTTCAAGACGAATGAGACAGAAAGAAAAGAGATGGTTTTATCTCATTCTTTCACCATATTTTCTTCTCAAACCAAACCAGGAGCAGGTTAAGAATTAGGAACCTTGATAGAGGGCTAAATTTATTACTAGCGGCTTTTTAGTGCCACATTTACCTTCTTTCTTTACCCAAGATTTTTTTTTCAAGACAACCCATGTCTTTTCAAATGGCGGATATAGCCAAGTGAGCGAGGAAGTGGATATTAACTCAGATTTATTATCTGATGGATACATTCCATCAGTTGCCGTTTCTTCTCTTTATTGTATATCTTCTGCAATGTATTTATTACACTCGTTTTACTCAAAACAACATTCTGAAATGGAAAAATATCGCAGTATTGCCCGATGATAGAGCTACCTGACCTTGTCTAAAGAAGGTGGTCAAACAGGATAAAATATCTAAATAGTGCTCATGCTCCTAGGCAATGATGGAACTTCCTGGGATTCTATAAAATTGACTAGTCCATTTACATCAGACTATTCGGATTTTTAATTATTCACTAGCAACCTTATCATGGATTTGAATTTTCAAGTACTATTCAGCTGTAAAGGTAAATAAACAGCAAGTGTTGTAGTATAAATAGGTTCACTTTACAAGATTAATACATTATCTCGCTTGATTCCCCCCTCTATTCCTGAAAATGATGAAAGGCAAGGCCAGTATAGGTTCTAGTTCAGTGTGACTGTTGTGTCAGCCAAAATACTGAGTTACCATTATTTTCTTTGGTCTTGTTGCTACCTGGTATATTCATTTACTGGTTTACTTTTATGTGTGGCTCTTCAAAGAAGGTTGTTGAATTTTATTATGGTAATCTTGAGCATATGTCTGAATCATTTTGAACTTGAATCAGTGCTTTTCCAAATTCAATACATTCTGATCGAAACTTCTTACTTTTCTGATCTAAATCATAAAATTCATAGAAGACATGGAGTTTTTGGCTGCAATCTAAAGGTATACATAAGCATTCCAGTGGCAAAAAGTTTTAGTTGTGATTAAAAACACTCCGACAATTATGATGACTATTCACTAAGGACTAATGACCTAATCAAAATTTTATGATTATTGAGAAATAAAGATACTTACTTGCATAAATTTTCTTTAATAATATTTACTTTTATATATAATACTTGTAATTTTTACAGGATAATTTCAAATAAATCTTGGAGGAGTTCATTCAAAGTCAGCCGATTGATGATCAAGGTAGGCCAATCCAACCAACCCAAGAGGAGATCATGGACATGTGGATTAAGCAGCTGGTGGTGTGCATAAGGGGAAAGTCTACGGTCTTGGATCAGAGTTTAGTCTCGGCCGTCGTACTTCTGGATTGTCTGGTACTTATTCTTCGTCACATTGCTCGGTTGATTTGGATGAGTTTGAGCAATTGAATAGGAAGGTAGCAAAGATTACGGAGTTGTATCTTCAAGAAAAGGCTGCAAGGGAAGAAGAGGCAAAGCGAAGGGAGGAAGAAGATAGGCAAAGAGAGGAAGAAATGAGGCGAAAGGACGATGCATTAAGACTTATCACTAGTGATGTTAAAAGTCTCAAGTGTCAGATAAACTCCCTCTTAGTATCTGGCGCATTTCCTGTGCCCCGTTCTCCAGCATCTGATGATTACTAAGGAGTAGTTTCTTTTATTAGCTGTCTTGGATGGTACTTGGATGTTGAATATTGAATGTTGAATTTTTTGAGTTTTTGTTCTACTTTTGAATTAGTTGGATTAATTATGAAATGGATTGATTAGTTGTTGTTTATGAAATTAATTGAATTGCATGTTGAATTTGGTATTTGAATGCTTAATTGTATTTAGTCTTGTATTGTTGGTTGTACTTTCTATTTGGCAGGTGGTTTAGTTCTAAAAACAGATTTGGCCATGAAAATATTTTTCAGATTTCTCACGGATTTCCCACCGACTCCGTGCATGCATCTTTCTCACTACTTCCATGGGAAAAATAAAAAAAATATCTAAATTATTTTTAGCATTTCCCACGGATTCGGTGGGAAACTTAAGAAAATTAAATTAAATTATTTTCTTACTTTTCCCACGACGTTCGTGGGAAGTTGTACGTGGTGACTGCACCAAACCATCAGTGGGAATCTCCCTGGGAATTACCCACGAATGTCGTGAGAAACTATTTTCCCACCAGCCATTTTCCCACCGAGCGTCACTCCTGGGAATGTCGTGGGAATATTGAAATTTCACACAGATTTTCTACTGATTCTTCCCTGAGAAAAGACTGCATTTCTAGTAGTGTTTATCCATATAAAATCGTTTTAAAATCTTTTCAGTGTATGTTGATTAATTGATAAAAATTTCATCTTTCATATAAGACAAAAAGTCTTTCCAAGATCTTTCATTTCAAATTCTTTTTTTAAACAATTTACTGTTTTAGGAAGCTGCCTGGGAGTTGTAATGATATTTGAATCATCAACATACACAGAGATTATAACAAATTCAAATCCAGATCTTTTTATAAAGATACAAGGACAAATTGAATCATTCTTGTACCCTTCTTTCAATAGGTACTCACACAGGCGATTATACCACATGCGTCTTGATTGTTTCAATCCGTATAAGGATTTTTGAAGTTTTATTTAATAAATTTCTTGGAAACATTAATATGCTTCAGAACAATTTTAATCCTTCAATGATTTCCATTATACGCATATCAAGTTTTCATGTATTGCTAGATTAAAACCTGAAATGATTATATCTACCATAAGAGAACATGCCTCCATATAATCAATATGAGGATATTTACTAATTTTCTTGTGTCACAAGTCGTATTTATGTCTATCGACTTGAACTTTTTGCACAAGAATACATTTATACCTTCATTGGCTTTATACTTTCAGGTGTTGGGACTATCCGCCCAACTTCATATTTTTTCAAGTGAAGTCAATTTTCATTGCTTATTTTTTATTTGGCCAATCATTTATCTGTCCAAATTTCATGACAGATTTGAGCTCAAGATCCTCGTCAATATTAATAATATTGAGCGCTACATTATGTTAACAATATTGTCGACGATCACTTTACGTCGGTTCCATTATTACCTAATAAAGACATAACTTATTGAGATCTCTTTATCTCATTATTTTCAGGTACCTGAGCCTCTCCTATAAGGTCTTATGAAGTGTTATGTCGTGGTGCTCTTCTAGGGCACTTGCCTCCTTATTATGATCATTTTGAATATTTGCCCCTCTCCTTCTTCAAGAAGTTTTATCTTTGGAATCGATTGGTCTGTTACACTTCATGTGTGCCATAGACTCTGCCCTTCATGGACTTTATTCTATTTAGAGCATTAACAACTGAAATATGACATTTAACTTTGGGTCAGNATAATTAAATCATATAGCACATCCATATTTCTATATAAAAATTATTTGGTTCCTGACCCTGAACTAATTGTGATAGGGAGAAATTTTTATAACTGGCTAGATGCGTACAAGTGCTGCTGTATATTAAATAATACATCTCATACCAAATTTTATTTTTGGGAGTTTTGTTCTCATAACCAATGATTTAGCTATAATTGGAGGCATACAATTTCTGCTAAACCAACTTGGATTTAAACCAGTATTATTAAGATAAATCATCATAATTTATATTCTGGAACTGTACACTAATAACTTGAGCAAGCAATCTTGCAAAAGCCAAACTGCAAGTTGATAACAATTGCACATGTGACCATAGAATAGATGCATTTATTAAAATCATATAATAGTAAACGGTCCACATGGCAGGTGACTGGGCCCATACATTTATCACCTTTTATTCATTCCAGAAATCAAGGGATTCAATACCAACCTTAACCGGTATATCATGAGAATAAGCAGCACAAGAGAATTCTTGAAGAATCTTCTATTCTTCAATATATGTCAATGTAATTCTTAATTAATTTTTCGCAACATAATTAAACCGGGATGGTCAACCGGTCATGCCAACTAATATTTATTTTAGTAAACCTCTAGTTTACTTATGGCATATGATTCCAGCATCATGCTTATATTTGTGTAGTACAAATAGAAAGAAAATCGGGTAATCTTTCATATTTACTCGGTATGATTATAGAAATATGAAGATATTCAATCTTCCTTTCATTTATAGTCTCAATATGCCAATCACTTTGACTTATACATTTGAAATTCAAAAAGTTTCTTTTGAGACTTTACAATATCAATGTCATGAATAATTTTATTCATCCGGATAGTAATAAATTAGTTTTTCCGGATCTCTTAACAACTTTTGTACTACAAGATCTTTTATCATACCATTCATATGATAGATGTCTCATTCACTGAGAGAATTATATCATAATAAGTTGTCATGGTCAAAATTATCATAAGCAAAATTATTTTCTTACTTTAATTTTGCCTTTAATAATTTTTATAAGGTATGCCAAAATATTTTGGCATATCACATGTACGAGACCAATGACATATTCATGTAACGACACAATAATATTTATTTTCTTTATTTCACTCAAACCTTCCTCAAAGGTGAGTTGTGTGGTATTCATCCAATCATGCCTTGCATGTCTTTATTCATTACTTTTATCACATATTACCACATTCACCTTTAGGAATGGGTTTGCATTCTCAATGCTTATCACAAGTCACATTCTCTTCAAGGAGTGAATCATAATCAGCGATGTGCTTCATAACAATTTGATGGCAAACATTGTCTTCACATTTCGAAGGACTATTTTGAGAACCCTTATTGTTCTCCTTTTATAATCATAGTGATGATTATTATTATTATTTTGATCTTTGGAACGCCCACATTCATTGTTCAACCACATGTCTTCATTTAAACTTATTATGCACTGCTACCACATTCACTTCAAGAATGGAACAAATCAAGTGGGACAATCTTCATGCCTTTAATGAAAAATATATTATTTTTCTTTAGTCATCATTATATCATCAATACGGTACAAAATGTCTTACCAATACAAAGGCATGTTAAGCCATAATAAATTGGGACTCAAACTCAACTCTTATTATCATGGAGCATCAAGACTTGAATCTAATGGCTTATCGTTAATCAATATCATAATCTGCCAAAGTAAACTGGACCATAATATATTACCATTCACGATTATATGCATAAGTGAATTAAGTTTCAACAAGACATATAGAATATGATAACTCTTATGAACAGAACATTTGTTGTAAATTCTATTGTAGTTCAGATGGACCATAAATCAATGCCATAATATTTCTTGAATCAATTTTAGGATATTGCTACTGTAGGGGCTAATTTAAGACAAACAACATAAAGAATATTTCCAAATGTATGTATCGGGGTGATGTTCTATCCATACAATTTCAATTGAAAATAGATTGTGGGTAAATTTTACTTATAATTCTAAAATCATGTAAACATAGAGTCGTAATACACCTTTAATTATAATAATAATTTTGATAGTCACAGTACCACTCCAACTTGGTAATTATTTTAATGTCATGATCATCCTCATAAATGTAAGTCTAAATCCACATCAAACAAATAAAATCAAATCTTATGCATAAAGAATCAAAATACGTAGGAAAGGAAAGATCAAAGATACTGCTATAGTTTGGTGCTAAGTCATCCTTTTTTTTTTTTTAAATCATTAGATTTATGTATTATTAATAAACATTATGATCTCTAAGATGCCATATATTTCTACATAACATGCACAAACTCATAAAAACACCACTATAATGAATGAAATCAAAGAAATCTTACGAATGTTTGTCTGCAAAACTATAATTATTTTATCGTGTAATATAAATTACATTAGTATTTAATCACAAAATAATTTAATATTAGAATGCATAGTGAAATTCACTCCTTGGACAATAGAGATCTTGTACATCTCACCTTCTTAAATTTTCACTTTGGATTTAGTTTAAGCAATAATTATGTTCTTTACTGATACTTTGGAATAAAACTCTACGAGAAGAAACTTCATATTAGATATAATTTCTTGGGATTAAAGACCATTAAAATAGATATTTGTGTAGTGGTATGAATGTATAAACTCTTACCATTATGAAGAAAAATTAGAATAAGTTACCTTGCCGCCAAAATTGGTGTTGGCCAACGCCATGAAAATTAAAGAGCACCTGCCACATAATCTTGATAGAAGATTATGAAATGAGCTATTCGTGCTGATAACGTGTTATGAAATATAATTCAAAGTAACAATATGGAACAAGGAAATAAAAGCAATTTAGTAAAACATGAACAAGAAATGAAGATAGAGAGAAGGAAGAGATTTTCTTCTTCAATTGTGTGTATTTTACTATCTATTACAAGACCTTTATATAGGCATGAGAAGTGAAGAAAATATGTCATGGAATATGTTATTGAACATAAAAAATATGTCATTGAGCATTTGACATGAAGATACGGATGAAAATAGACATCCACCGTTATATTTATCGCAACAAAATGTAGTTATTAAAATAATCCTAGTGAAGGTTTAAATTTGTCTTCATCCGTAGGCAGTAGCTCTTGCACAGAACAAAAAAATCCTTTTGCCGATTCCCCACTGTTCGTTGCAGCTGCCCTCAAGTCAGCAACTCTCGGCTGATTCCACCTTCTGCTGCTATCTATCTGAAAAGGTATTATTCTTACTCTCCTTTTAGTTATATTATATTATATAAATTTTTTTTCTGAAATTGATGTGTTTGTGCGTTTGGGGATGTGTATATGACTATCTATTTTTATATGTTGCATGAGTTTGGGGCTGTGAAATTGATGTGTTTATGTCTTGGGACAGTTTGATTTCGAAATGCGACTCTTCCAAAATCTAAAACTGCACCATATTATTTTTAAGTCCATTAAAGAATATCTTAACTGTGTTTCTCTTGTTTGTTTTTGTAAGTACTCCAATTTAGGAAGCATTGTCACAAGATTTATAGCATATGTTGGTTCAAATTTATTGACATAGGTACTTGTTTTTCACCTAACATAGGTGATTTTCCTACTTCCTAATTGTTTCTGGGGAAAAATTAGGATCTGTACTTCTTTCTTAAAATATTATATGTCCTGTCTGCTCTATATAACAAGGCACCAATTATAAAAGTTTGAATATTCTTGGCGGAATTTCTGGTTACGCTGCTGGCTATATGTATGTATTTAGATTGTAAATTTTTTTACATGATTACTCCATGATGGCTTTTTCTAATTGTGTTTTGCACTTTAGCTGTGGAAAGAAAAACCGAAATATGAATCTCCTCTTTTATTATTTACTTTATATCATCTTCTGCAAATTCTGTAGTACTTTTGCCTGTGTTGCGGAGATTAAAATTAATAGGTATGATGTCATCCTCCCACTTGCTTGAGGATGAATTCTTACTTCTGTTAAGATTTATTTGTTTCATATGATAGTGTATATATTCTGAATTTGAAGTGCATGATAATTATATCAACTTGTTCATTGAGCTACTGTGTTTTTCTTGTTATTTTGAGTCAATTTAGAAGCAGTTACATTTTGATATCTTGTACTGCAATGTGAAGTTGGTTCATCGAACAATGTTTGATTATAAAGATTTTTGAGCTAATATAAAGAATGGAGCAATGCCAACTTTCTTAGAGGGATTGTTCAATGACGAGTCATAAATAAAGTAAGGAAAATACTACGTCGTGATAGGGGTGATGCACATTCAAGTTGAGTTGTCTCACTCTCTGCGATTTCTTTAATGACCTCCTTCCTCTCATTATTCCACCTATACTATTATGCTTTTTTGATTTTTAACTATACATGTATGTAATTATGATGCAGGTAAAATGTTGAAACAACTAGCAACTGCACGGAACAAGTTACAAATGTCCTATCAGAAGCATAAAAAGGATTTGGAGAAGCTGGCAAACATTCGCCAGAAGCTCATTTCCCTTCCTTAACATCTGGTCACAACAGAAAAAGACATGAGCTGTTTGGCTCGGCTAGCAGATGAGGAAGAGAAGCTTGTGAGGAAGATAGTTATTCCATCTTTTATTTCTGAGGAAAATCTCTCGGGTATTATTGAGATAGCCAATCGTGCTGGTTTTGAAATCATAGGTGAGGGAAAAGCATAGGGTATTTCAGTAGTATATTACATTTCACTTTGGTTCAATTTATTCCTTTTCGAGTTTGATGTTCATGATCGTTTGGTTCCACTTTTTCAAATAACTAATACTCGCATAAGATCTGCGGAAAGCCGTCATAATTTTATGTGGGATAGAATATGAAATAAGAATGCAAGTATTAACAACATGAATTTAAAATATTAAGTAAAGAAAATAACCCTTCAAGTAGACCAATATTTTAGTCTGTTAAAAAAATAAAAGCACATTTAAAAGATATATTGTATAATAATTTTTAGTACAACAAACCAAACATCTAGTGAGAAGTAACCCTTGCACTATTAATTACTGCATTACTAATCTTTGCATAACAATCTCTGCATTACTAATATTTGCATTATTGTACCTGCATTACTAATCCCTGCATAAATTGCTTCTAAAGCAAATGACTCCTTTAATTTATTATATCTGGGATCAATGATGTATTATCTATCTTATTACAATGGATGGTTCCGTATTGATTTTTGGATGGCCAACCTTCGACAGATGAAGTTCCAGAATGTCGTAGAGGACACCAATTTAGCATCCACCCAAATATAACAAAGGTAAAGTCTCTCTGATCAGTCTCTTCATTTGTCAAATATATAACTTGGGCACAAGTACTTAGTTCTTTTGGCGACTACAAAATTCAATCTTGATTTCACTATCATAAGACAATTAGTTTTGCTGAGTTTCTCTTGGCTTGGTTAATAGAATTTTAGTTAATGAAGGTTCGGATTCTTTTTCGCATTCAGTTTAGAAGCTATTAGCTTTTGGCTTAAACTGTTGTCTTTTACTTTGGCTTCATTTATTGCAGTCTCATATCAAATTGTTTTGGGATGTATTCACGAAATTTCGACTATATCGTGACCTTTCATTTTGGTGTTATTGTCACAGCATCAGCAAAATGATAGTTGCTATTCTAGCCATGTGGTAATGGAGGATACGTTTTGCCAGTTGCCATTATTATCAGAGTATGAGCAGCGTAATAATAGTTGCTACTCCAGCTATGTAGTAATGGAGGATAGGCTTTCCCAGTTGCCAGATGAAATTCTTGTGTCAATTCTTTCTCAGTTGACATTGAGAGAAGCGGTGCGCACAAGTTCCCTTTCAAGTCGATGGCGATACCTTTGTCACATGTCTGAACTTTGATGTAATCTCAGAGTTCGGGGATAAGGCGTTGAATCTAGATTTTTGCGAAAAGGAAGGACTGAGGCATATAAATTTGATCAATCATGTTCTGGATTTACACAGATCTCATACTTTAGAAGAATTTAGTGTCCGTCTTCCTTCTGAAGGTAATTTCAAATGTGAAATTGATAAATGGCTCAAGTTTGCATCATCAAAGAAGGTTGAAAGCCTTGAATTATTCTTGCTAATTGGTTATTGGGTAGAATCCGATCGATATTCCATTCCCCTTGAGCTTTTAAGTCATGGAAGTAATGATGCTTCCCTCTTTGGCTTTGGGGCTCTCAAAAGTCTTAACTCTAGCCTACATTGATGTGTGCCATCAAGTTGCCGAGATTTTCCTCTCCAGCTATCCTCTTCTTGAACAGTTATCTATAAGAAATTCTCGGGTATTGGAACATCTAATAATTGGTCCTTCCCTCAAGTTGAAGCATTTGGAAATATATCGATGCAGAATAGATTATTTGGAGATCTGTAATGCCAATCTTATCTCCTTTAGTTTCAAGGGAACGAAGCAAACAAACTTGTCTCTAAAGAATGTTTCTTCGGTTGTGAATCTTCAAATTGAGATTTACCGTGAATCGCTGCCTATTCTCATTGATTTGATTGCAACAAAATTCAGTGAAGTGGAGAAGCTTTCACTTGAAGTTAGTTGTGACCAATTGAGGGTAAGCAATTTCCCTCTTCCATAAAGAATAAAACAAAGTTTTGGTGCCTTTTTTTCCTAGTCTTCCTTCTAATTATTTTATCTTTTCCAGGCTCTTGATTTTCATCATTCTTTCCCGAAATTCAACAATCTCAAATGGCTTATATTGAGCGTTGTCGATTGCACTCTACTTGAAGTTACTCCACTTCTGCAGGCATCTCCATACCTGCAAATGTTCGACATCAAGGTAGAGATTTATTTATTTATTCATTTTCTTTTGAAATATGGTTAAACACGTCCTTTTACTTCTGATATGGTGTCCACTCTTTTCGGACTCAACGAGAGTTGGGACCATGATCTGTCATGTCTTACTTGCTTTTGTATTTCTGGAAACTAATATTGGATGTTTCCGGAGGAATCTAGTACTATTATAGGATGTGCTAGTACTGTGTCTGTCTGATGAAGGATTTGAGGGATTCGCATAATCTATACGTTGCCACACTAATTTAACCCCTGTCTTTGATTTAATTTCTGAGTCAGATTATAATAAAGAAAGATTTACTATATTTCAGAATATAATTGTATTTGTATTTCTTTTTTCGTTTTCAGATTGACTGGTCTGATACAAGGATCTATGGTGGAACTATTCTACCGCTACCTAGACGACATCTCAAAGTGGTCCGATATGAAGGTTATCTTGGCGGTACAGCTGATGAGGAATTGATAAATTACCTTGTCAAAAAATCTTTAGCGCTTGAGAAATTCATCGTTAGTCTTTGCGATCAGTCATATTCCAAAGTTGAGCGAAAAGCCAGAAGTCAGGCTTGGCGACAGCTACAAGGAAAATTTTCCAAAGGAGTCGAGCTGGTGATCCTTTAAATCACCCTCTGAGCACTATAGCTATGACTGAGTTGAATTATCAAATATTTATCAGTAACAGTTATGATTTACAAGCACTCTAAATCCATGCTATACGCAATACTAGGAGCAGATGCAGTGATTTCGAGTAATGCTTACTTGTTTTCGTATCTTAGACGTTCTCTATCAGTGCTTCCTTTAATATCTGTAATTTCCTATTCAAGTTTTCAATACAATCTATCTATGTTAACCGTGTGATTTGGAATAGTGTTTAATTGTATTCATAGAAAGTGGGCAAAATTCAATGCCAGCACTTCTGTCATTTTTTAACTAGATGTGTATTCGCTGGAGTGGATACATATGTTCTTTAGTAATAGTATTACAAACATAGAAACATGTATCAGAACTACCTACTCTAACCCTCCATACTTCCCTTGAATAATACTCTTGTGATATAGTGGAACATTTTGTTATCGTGGAGAGTGAAAAGGCCAATGCAGCAAAGAACGACTACAAAACGTGTGGATAGATATTTAGAAGTTACTGCGTTTTTTGGCGTGCATGGACAGGTGTGAAAGAATTTGAGCATCCAACCCAAAACCTTACGGCAATGGACATGCAGAGGAGAAATGATATCCCCATTCGGACCAAGACAGAACTATTACTTGCTTAAATAACAATTAAGGCGAAGAACGACTAATCATAGGTGGAGTGGTTCAGGACATTATAAACCCTTTAGGAGACCCTTACACAACCGATGACGAACAAGTGCATTTCTCTAACAAGAGGTTCAATGAGAAGCCAGCCTAGGCCGGAGTCAGCATAGGATGAAAAAGACGGTCCTAATCTTGTTTTGGCTTTGCAATTTGTTGGGCTATGGTCTGTGATAAACAGACTTAAGGACTCTAGACTAGTAGCAGCATAAGGATTGTTGTCAGCTTGAATTCAGAACAAATCCCTCCAAGATAACAGTAGTAGTCAAAAACTTTATAATCTAATGATTCAATCTGACACTTGATATTACACCCTAAAGATGTAAAAACATTATTATTACAAGGCCAACAGAAGAACATACGAGTACATCGATTACAAGGACATGAAGGAAAACCAAGATACATCCTTCAGTTTGATATTCACTTCTTCTTGGCAATGAACAAACCCCACCTCTGCTCCCCGGATGAACTCCTGATTAGCTTAGCTTTCCAACCTCCAACTATTTCATTGTAATCTTGCTGTAAAATTAATATCAGAAACAAAAGTTAAGAAGTAATCCTTGACCCCACAAAAAGGGAAATTACAAAATGATCAACAACCACCCAGTGTAATCCCATAAATGCGGTCTGGGGAGGGTAGGATGTGCGCAGCTTTACCCCTACCCTGGAAGGGCAGAGAGAATGTTTCCGGTAGACCCTCAGCTAAAGAAAGAATGGAAAAATTACAAAATGATCGAAGATGATAATAAATCACTCACTTCTGAGAACTCCTGGATAAATGAATCTCTTTCCTTCTCCACAGTATTTAACTCCTTTTGGAGAACATTAATGAACTGCAATAAGTAAAAATCTATTAGGTTTGTCTCAATATCTTAGCTAGCGTTCATTTACAAAGAAAACAAGATCTGCCTAACGCACCTGTTCAGTTCGATCCTCAGCAATAACTTCATCAAAACCAGCATCTCTGAGCATCTATATTAAGGGGAAAACGCATAAGAAGCACTGTCATACAACACATATGAAGCAGAGAAGAGAAGGGGAGGTGCTTGTTAGAATGGATATATACCTGGCCATATTCTGCAACATCATGTAAATCATAACCCCTTTGCTTAATATACCCTGCAAACTCTTCTGATGCTGGTCCCGGGCTTTTGCAGTAATCGCTTATGAGGACTTTGCCTCCTGGTTTCAGCCACCTGTAGAAAGATCTGAATAATGCAGGTTTGTCCTGAAAGTACACCATATTTAACCGTAAGCAGACAAATAAAACAGCCATATAGAGAAGGCGATTCATGTAGAAACGATTTTTGAAGATTCATGTTGAAAGAAAGGAAATTACTTGGATGTGAAGGATAGTGTCTCGACTGTAAATCACATCAAATGTGCCATCAGGATATGTTTTCTTTGTGCAATCAGCAACCTCAAATTCAACGGCACATTTTAGACCAATAGCACGCTCAAGAGCAAATGATATCATGTTGATTGAGAGGTCAATGGCAACAACATGAACATCATAATTCTCAGCCATGTAAAAATCACCTCCACCTATGCCACAGCCAACATCAAGGACTTTTTGGCCAGGTTGAAGATCCAACATGGAGACAAATTCTTTTGTGGTATCTGCTCAAGATTAAATGCCTAATCAGCAAAAACTAGATAAAGCACAGCATAAGGTAGGATTAAATGATTTTGAGTGGAATGATCAGATTAAAGTTAAAGAAGAGAATTTGCAAGCAGACAGGAGATGGAAAACTTAAAAAGAAAAAATGAAACTGTGAAAACTCTTTCGTTATAACCTTCAGGCCGACAAATATAATTAAGAGATACTCTAGTATACTGCATGGAGTTGGATTCTCAGTGATCAAGACAAGAGAGGCGAGGAATCTTAGGGGCTTACCAACTCCACCGGTGCTCACATAACCTTCTCCAAAGACACGTTCATATCGCAGTATGCCACTACACTTGTATTGAACATTGTCCAGAAAACGCTGGAAACCCCTGTCTTCCTCAGAATTAACTTTCTGCCATAACCAACAAATCTGCAAGATGCGAAGCAAAGAGTGCGGTGATTGGATGTTCGGGGTAACAGTAAATAACAAAAGGGGCAATGAGGGAAGAAAATCTATGTACCTGATTCTGGTTCTTTTTGTTTTTAACATAAGCTCCAATGCACTTGCAACCGATGAGAGAAAGTTCAAATGATTTTCCATCACCAGCATTTAAATGGCATTCTTTAAAAACCTGCATGCAAGTAAAGGACTCGAGTAGGTTAAGCCAAGCAAAACAAAGGCAATGATTGTTTTGGTGTCAAATGCACCAAGCAAAACAAAGGCAATGATTAACAATTCTTAAACAGAAAAACAGGTAATGATTCCAATTCAGCTATTAATTCAATAGAAATCCTAATAAAATTGCAGAAAAATTAATATGTTATTAAGGATTTCTTTAAAGAGATTTATTCAATTTCTCCGGAAACGCAGGAAAAAGGGAAAGAAAACACAATTCTGAAGTGTGATAACAAATTTTATTCCACGGAGCCAAATCGTTGGTAAAAAAGTACTTCATGCACTGATTTAACTGTTAATGCCAAGAAAATAACAAGTTTCTGTGATCAACATGGAGTTTGCTCATAGTAGTATTTTTCCAACGGGAAAAGAAATGGAAGAAAAGTTAAGACCTTTGTATAAAATCTAGGTTCCCGATAATGAGTTGGGTTGTTCTTTCGCTTGTGGTCTCCTGATTGATGGAAGCATGACTCCCTGAAAAATATGTAGCCTCCAACTTTCAACCATTTTACCATTCTCTCCACAAGACTCTGGACCTTCAATCACGCAAAAAGAAACAGTTTCAAGCGTTAAAGCAGTACCTGTTAAAGTGGCAAAGAGCAAGAGATATCCCTAAAATTGTGATTTTACCATCAAGTTACCATCTTACTGATCTAAACATGGAGAATTAGTCAATCTAATCATTAAATGTACATTTGCGATTTTTTTCAAGCAAAAGATCAGGCAGAAGATGAAAATAAAAGTACCTCTTCGTCAGAAAGATACATCAGTAGCCAGTTTGAAAATATCAAGTCCACTGATTCAGGTGAAAACTTCAAATCTGGAGAAGTCACATCAGCACACATAAACTTGACATTCTTATGATGGCTATTGATGCTTTCATTCTGCAATAAGCAAAACAAAAGATGAGGAAAAAGAAAAATTTATTCAGTAAACTTATCATCACTTAAGCATCCATTAACAAGAGAACCTTCTGAACAAACTCAGTCACAGCCCCCATAAAAAGAGACAGAGAATGTAAATGTCACAAACCTTTTTAATTGCACTTTCAATAAAGTCCAATGCTAAAAGCTGCCCAGCATTCTTTGCTAATTCACTAGTGAAACGGCCAATACCAGCACCCAGTTCTAGCACTGATTTCCCTTCATATGATGGGAGTAGAGAGAGCACCTAAAATGACCATTCACAAGTTTCAAATATTTGTCACATGTCTAACAGCAACCATGTCAAACTCGCAAAACAAACTAAACTCAACGTGCAATTCAAGAACAGACTCAAGTAAAAACAATATAAAAGCAGCCTGTTAAAATGAAAATTAGAGTAACTTTTGGATATGTAGTAACATCAGATATATATATATATATATATGCATTGGCTCAAGACAATAAGCGTCTAAAAGAAGAAACAGGCTGTATATTAAAACAGATCACTCTAAATCATATATGGATAGCAGCATACATAACAAATAAAGATTCCCACCCATAGTTACTGAAAAGTAGTGGAATTAGACGGATCAAAACTCCTCTACTTGTTGTAATACAGTGCAATTGAACTGGGCAAAGTTATCCAGATCACTAGTATAACTTCCCGTTAAGCTTCTCAATTAAATATGGCGATGCACAAGGTAATTCTTGATAACTACGAGTTAAGGAGATCACAGGGAAAAACACACTAAACTATAACTTTAGCCTGAATGTTAGTACCAGCTCCTTTTGTCACTAGATATGACATAAATCATCATGGTCTTTTTGCTGTTGGTATTCTTCCACTATATGCGCCCAAGGAAAAGACTAGTAACTAAGAAGGAAAACATAAGCCAAGGATCATGTTAGTAAAACCAAAGTTCCATGATCACAATAAAGAAGTGCAATCTTTCAGAGAACTTATATCTAATGATCAAACGAAGCCAGCGAATAGAAAGAAACTATTGGATCCAACATTTGGGACAACTGAAATGTTCAAGCATCGCTATTCAAGGGGTCATAAGCAAGCACCCCTACTTTTTGTTAACTGGAGGCAAACATATGGTGCCTGCCGTCATTAAAATTTTTATGACTTTGCTCTTTGTAACCAAAAATTGTTTAAAGATTGACCTCTACATGTTTTTCTCTCCTTTTTTTCCTCCTTTTTTCTTCCTTGTTGGGATGAAGAAGTAGTAAAAATGAGCATGTGTCAATTAAAGTCCCAAAGTTGCGAATCCTCCTTAAAGCGCATAGATCTTGCAATTTAGGATATATTAAAAGGAACAATGTCCAAGTGGAAAGCTCCAGTAATATCAAGCAAGAAACAGATCCAAAGAATCATTAATTAGTTAGACAGTTTACTTTTTCACTAATTTCTCTCCTTGATGCCTACAGTAAATAGCTTTGATTGGGAAGAGGTGTGACAAATTAAAAATTAAGGTTTATTCTCACTTTTAAACAGAGAACTGAACATAATATTGATTCTTAACAGTAAAATGTGCACTCCATTTCAGATCAATCAACAGTAAAATCTAAATTTAACAAATCTTGGTTAGTTGTTAGTTTGTGAGACAACAGGGTAGGTGGTATCAAGTCATTATATCAGACAGCAAATAAATGATAGTACATAATATCAAAACAACAATTAAGCACTACACCACCTTATTTTGGCAAAATAAAGGGCATATTCTATTATTGAATATTCATGAAAATGACTCAGAAATAGTACTTCAAAATGAAGACCACAAAGAGAATATCCTTATCCTAAACAAATAAAAAAAAATGAATCATACAAGGAATGAGGGAATCAACCCTTGTTTGAATAACCCTATGACTCCTATGACTAGTTATAATTTGAATAGAAAAAAATAACCCTTCAAAATCTCCTATGTTTTATTACCAATCTCGTGTGTTATTTTATCGAGCTCCAGTCAGACGACGACAACAACAACTAACAAATAGGGTGTGAAGAGGGTAGTATGTATGCAGACCTTACCCCTACCTGTCAGAACGACATATAACTAAAAGAACATTTGTAACATTGTAACGAGCCATAAAGCGATCTCCCCAGAAGTCAATATAGAGAAGAAGGCAAATATTAATACCTCGGGCCTCTCTTCTTTGTCAAGATCAGCTGCTTTAGAATCAAGCATCATAGCCTCAACAGTGAGTTCCGATGTGTGCTCGATCCAATAATTCTTCTGAACATCACGTTCTTGTTCTGTACACAACATATTCATAATCAAAATCATTAATAATAGACGTCCCAAACAAAGAATAATCACATTTTAATAGCTATATAATCCTCATTTCATTCAAACAAAAAAAAAAAAGAAGAAGAAGAAGAAGAAGCAAGGAACATTTCAAACCTGAAGAAGCAGCAGCAGCAGCAGAAATAACAGGAGCCATTGTTTGTGATATTTGATCAAGAACACGAAAATGTTATAATCTTTTTTAATTAATTTTTAAACAAGATTATAATTATTGTGACAATGTGAGGAGGGGGGTGTATGTTACTAATGACCCTCAACGGCAGTACGGGATCTAGAAAAGGATCTTGATCTACGGTTATTGCTTCTGCCTTTCTGCTGCATCAGCTAACGTAAAATGCTTATGGTTTTTGTTACAGGCGGTGGTCTATCTATTTATAGGCAATGAAATAAAAAAAAGATGACCCCCCTACGTAGCTATTTTTTTGGTATTTTGTTTAACAGAAGGAGCAGAGGTTGATTGTTTGAAATGGTGGTGAATTTGTGAGGAGGGGAATCGTAGAGACGAGAGTTGCGTGCGTGGGTGGGTGGTGGGGAAGGATCTGTTATGACTAGTGGGCCTATGCCACGTGATGTCGTTTTGGAGATTCTCCTTCTTGACAAGGGCCTACCAGAGCTTAATTATTATCGCACTGTTTAGGGAGAAATTCAAAAATAACCAAATTTACAACTGGTCGTTAAAAATTAGCTAGTTTCAAAAGTAATCGAAATTTAATCATTTTTCATGTAAAGATAAATTTGAGCGAAAATACTATTCAAAACCCGAAAAATACGCCAGTATATTATACTGGAGTTCCAGCAAGTATAATTGTCCAATATAATATACTGGAGTTTGGAGCACCGGTGCTCCAGTCTCCAGTATATTATACTGGAGCCAGCAAAGTATACCGGTCCAGCATAATGTGCTGGAGTTCACACACAGGTGCACCTAACTCCAGTATATTATGCTGGACCGGTCTCTGTTGCAGCAAAATAGTGGCTATTTTTCATTGACTTCATAAATGCTGGCTATTTTTGAATGACCAGTTCGAAAATTGGCTATACCGTGCTATTTTTATCACTATTTACCCCAAATTAATAGATATATGACTAGTATTTTAAAAGGCTTGGAGAGTTAGGCGATACATTTTATTTTATTTGTAATAAAGCGAAGCATAAGCCCCGAGGCCCTGCGTGTAAGACCATGAAACTTTAAGCATTTGCATCTATACCCACTTTTTGTGTCACGTTTTAACTTGTGTCTCCTTTGTAAAAAAAATTGCAAACGTACCCACTTTGTCGCATAACTTCAGCATACGGGGCTGAAATAGCAAAGGCAATCACGCAAAACTTCAGCATTCTAGTAGCCGGGCCTGAAGTTCAGCTCTAGAGCTGAAGTTTTTGTTTTGTAACTGGCGAACTTCAGCTCTAGAGCTGAAGTCTTTGTTTTTGTAACTGGTGAAGTTTTTGTTTTGTAACTGGCGAACTTCAGCTCTAGAGCTGAAGTTTTTGTTTTGTAACTGGCGAACTTCAGCTCTAGAGCTGAAGTTTTTGTTTTGGAACTGTTGAACTTCAGTTCTAGAGCTTAAGTTTTTATCGAAGGAAGTTTTTGTTTTGTATCTTGGGACAATCCTGAACATCCCAATCCTTTAATTTGATTAAAAAAAATAAGCTACTTAATTTGACTCACCAGTAGCAGCGACAAGGAGAAGACAAAAGAGAAGGGCAACGAAGGCTGTGTATTTAGCCATATCTAGCTTGTTTTCCTTTTGGATTTCTTGGGAGGAAACTGACAACAACAATGGTGATATTTGTAGCATGGTATATGCTCAACATTGTCAACTTAATTCATTTTTTTACTAATTCAAGCATTCACATCATTATTATGTACATGAGAAAGTAAAAAGAATAAGTCTAGATGATTCCTTCGATTCCCTATAAGATTATGAGTTGGACGATGAGAACGAAGAAAGAAAGAAAGAAAGAAAGAAGAAGAAGAAAACGAAGGAGGAGAAGGAGGAGGAGGAGGAGGAGGAGGAGAAAGGAGCTGAAGTTATTTAAAAAGTGGGTACAAGTTAAAAGTGTTTTAAAAAATGGGTATAGGTTAAATGGGGGCGACCAAATAGGGCGCCTCATACAATTTCCTATTTTTTATATTTTTTAAACAATAAAATTGGAATATTTTAAGAAAATTCAATTACATGGAAATTATGAAAAAATTATAAAACAAGTGAAAGATGTACATAAAATTGCTTTTTATTTTACAGAAGCATTTCACTGCATTAACAAGAAACAATAGATATCATGCTTATTACAAACAACATAGAGTTTCTCATGTTGCACTCGCAATACTTCAAAAAAATATTGAAATATAATAACAATTGAGACGAAAGAGTAAAGGATTAGTACTCTAGTCCTAGAGCTAAATTATTTTTATTTTATCACACCACCAGTCATCAAAATAGAGCACTTAAGACGATTAAAATAGCACGGTCTAGCCAGTTTTCGGATCGGTCATTCAAAAATAGCCAGCATTTGCCACATCATTAAAAAATAACCACTATTTTGCTGCAACAGAGATCGGTCCAGCATAATATACTGGAGTTCGGTGCACCTGTGTATGAACTTCCAGCATATTATGCTGGACCGGTATACTTTGCTGCTCCAGTATATTATGCTGGAGTATTTTTCCGAATTTTGAACAGTGTTTTCATTCAGATTTATCTTTACATAAAAAGTGGTTAAATTTCGATTACTTTTAAAACTGTGACTATTTTTGAATGACCACTTATAAATCTGGCTATTTTTGAATTTCTCCCTTTAAGACAACAGATTATCCGCTCCATCTCATACAAATTTAACCTCAACGGTCTTGCATTTCTTTCGCTCATGAGGAAGTAACTTATCAACAATAATTCTCTCTTAACAAATAACAAAAACTGCATCAGTAATCACTTTTGTAGTTAGAAAAGAACGGTTTATTTCACCTTGGGTAGAAGAAGACAAAGTGAAAAAATAAAATAAAAATAGGGCCAAGTATAAAAAAAAACTTTCATAGTTTGAGACTTAATTTTTTTTTCTTGAGTATTTAACAAACAGAAATTTGAGAAATTAGGCTTAAATTAAGGAACTATTAGTAAATTTTCATTTTAATTTGGGATAATCTTCTAGGTACATGCCCCACGATAAAAATGGACCTCACGCCTAGGAAAGCGCCCAAGAGAACAGGCGTGTGTACTTGATACACATATTATAAGCTAAAGAAGCCACTGAAGCCACATCAGCCGAGGTCGTTACAGTTAGTTCAGAAAAACGGTTAGCATAGTGTCAAGTTAGTTAGCTGGATTCAACAAACTAAGCTGTAATTTCCACTCCCAATCGAGTAGTATAAATAATTGTACTGAGTTCATTACAAATCAATAAGAAAGTATTACAATTTCCTATTTCTAATTCTTCTTCTTCTTCTTCCAATCTTCTTCTCCTCCATTTCTGGGCTGGAACACTCGAGTATCCTCTGTAGATCTCTTGTACAGCTGTTGAATTCTTAAAGTATATTCCTGAATCAAGTGTAATTAACAATTCAGTTAAAATTGGTATCAGAGATTTCGAATTCTCAGCACTCATGGCGAAAAGAACTAGGTCTAATGGTGACATTGTCAATGAAAATTCACTTTCAGACATGGATGAACTGAGAGAGATGATGCAGAAAATGCTAGCAGAGGTGGGGACTCTTGCTGGAAAAGTAGTTCATCTGAAAAGATTAGATCAAATAGTACACGAGCTGAGGGAACGGATTACAACTTCTGGAGAAAAGCAAAAGGGAAAAACTCCTTCTGAGAACGACGAAGGACCATCTGGAGGAAGGCAATCAAGACAAAGATCACATGGTGAAAGGAGTCCTGATTACACTCATGATTACAATTCAAATCCTTCTCGATGGTCAAGAATGGAGTTCTTGCAATTTGTAAGTGAGGACCTAAAATCTTGGATGTTCAAAATTGAACAATTCTCTTTAATGGAAAGAGTACCCATGGATGAGAGGATTGAGTTTGTTGCTTTACACTTAGAAGAAGAGGCAATCCAATGGCACCTGTTATATTCAACCTGCTACTTGGAATGAATATGTGATTGCCTTAGTCGAAAGATTTGGTACTGATTTTGATGATCCTATGGAGGAAATCAAGAAGATCAAGAAGTTGGGGAGTTTAAAAGAGTATCAAGCAGTCTTTGAAAGAAATTTGACTAGGGTGACCTTATCAGAGGAGAATGCTATCAGTCGCTTCATTGGGGGCCTCAAACCTGTGATGAACATTGCAGTCAAAATCAACAATCCTACAACTCTATCAGTTGTACTCATACTACACTTCTGCACTTTACGTGCAAATGTTGGATGATGATGTTGATGTGGTCGACGGAGCTGGATTTGAAGATGTACTTACATTCCGGTTATAGCTGTCTCTTGTTCATGGTAGCTCTAGACTTATGAAAGATCTGTTCATGTATATTTCAAACAGATGATTACTCTATCTCATATCATCTTTGTAAATCCTAAATCTTAAACGCTCATGATTTGTAGTACCAGTCTTTGAGGAATGTATGAGATTCAGACATTTTCTTTTAATTAATTGTCTTATTAAATTTCATTGGAATTGGCTTACCTAGTGGGTTGGGTTAGGTGCCATCACGACTAGTTAGATTTTGGGTCATGATACAAATTCCTATGCCAAAATTCTTAAATTACACCTCAAATCACGTAAACTAGTTGGAAAATTTAATGATAATTCAATATTATTGAATAAAAATGATCACAAGTGACTTACCTCCAGAATTCTCGTGAATCCCCTCTCAAAAATCGCCCCGAACCGAGCTTCTAAAGTCCAAACATGCCAAAATCCCGCAACCCCTTCGAATATAATCTGTCCAGGGGTTTTCGCTCCTGCGAACCATTTAATCGTACCTACGGTCCCATAGGCGCGATACAATTTGCGCTTCTGTGATGAACCACTTGAAGGTGCGACTCCGTATCTGCTGAATTTCCTCCACACCTGCGTTTACCAGCCCGTTCACCATTTCCCACTTCTACAATCATTAATTCGCGGGTGCGACTCCGCTTCTATGGACCACCTGTGCGCACATGCAACCACTGCCCACTCTGCTCTAGCCTGCACCTACGACCACTTTGTCGCTTCTGCAGTCGCGCACCTGCGGCCATATCCATCGCAGGTGCGATCACACCAGAGGCAAAAATTCCAACAATGTTTTAAGTCCAAAATTTGATCTGTTAATCATCTGAAATCCACCCGAGGCCCGTAGGACCTCAACTAAATATACCAACACGTCCTAAAAATACGATACGAACTTAGTCGAGGTTTCAAATCACATCAAACAATATAAAAAATGTGAATCGCATCCCAATTCAAGCATAACGAAAACTAAGAAATTCCAACTTCTATAATTGATGTCGAAAACTATCATATCAATTCCAA